AAATTTCATAATAATAATAATAATAATAATAATAATAATAATAATAATAATAATAATAATAATAATAATAATAATAATAATAATAATAGTAGTGCATGGGGTACAGGACATTCATATAAGTTGACACCATTCTAAATTAATATTGTTTAACACTAATACACTATGCTCCCAACAGCTAGAGCTAGACATATACTCCTCATGAGCTATTGAGCTACGTACATCCTACGCGTCCGTAGAGTCACGCGCCGCCCTCATCACCATCCTCCTCCTCTCCCCGGCCACCACCTCCGCCGCCCTCCGCCGCCGCCCTGTACCTATACCTCCTCGCCCAAAACACGTACTGCAACAAGTTCAACCCACTCAGCCCACACATGAGCCAATAAAACCGCTCCAACCTATACCGGTTCAAATTACTCCCACGCAGCCACGGCCCACCCGGCAACCTACCCGTGGCCCAATTCACCAGGCCCACAAGCACCGAGCTCAAATAATAGCCCACCGCCAGCGAGGCCCACGACAGGGACGTCGCCAGGGACCTCATCCCGGCTGGCGCCTCCGAGAAGAAGAACTCCATTTGGCCCGCCAGGCTGAACAAATCGGCAGACCCCAAGAAGAGGTACTGCAGCGCCACCCAAAGGAACGTAATCGGTATGGGCTCCGTGGACCCGGCAAGGCCCGACCGGGCCGCGGCCCGTTTACGCTTGGTCTCGACTAGGGCTGCTGTGGCCATGGCCAAGACCGAGAAACCGAGGCCCGTTCCTATGCGTTGGAGATGGGTTATCCCGGGCTCGGAGCCCGTGTCCCGTCGGGAAAAAAACGGTAGGATGACGTGGTTGTAAACGGGCGCGAGTATGAGCACAAAAAGGACCGGGAAAACCGGGAGGGAGGCCGGTGGGACTCGAAAGGTGGTGCCGACGAGGCGCGTGTCCATGGTGGCGGCTTGTTGAACGGAGAAGGTCGACAGCTGGGCGAGGCAGCAGTTGAGCATGACGGTCGAGGCAAAGATGGGGAGGGTTCGGAGGACGGATTTCGAGTCCTCGACTTGGGATACTGTGCAGTGGAGCCAAGGAGAATATTGGGGGTCGTCGTGTGGGCCCGGCGGGTCGGATATCGCTCGGTCGAGGAACGTTGTGTTCGGTAGGGTGGTGCGAGTGGGTCGACTACTTGGAGTTGCCCGGCGATTGCGTGTTGCGGAGATCAAGACCTGTACGATGTACGATGCAGATGCATAGATGAA